GCTAGAAATTAGTGATGGCAGTGTTTCCCAAGTATGCTTTGTAGAATAACCATCTGATAAAATGCTCTGTGCTTTAAAAAAAAAAAAAAAAAAAAATCCAGGGGCACCTGGGTGGCTCAGATGGTTAAGCATCTGCCTTCGGCTCAGGTCATGATCCCGGGGTCCTGGGATCGAGCCCCACATCGGGCTCCCTGCTCAGCAAGAAGCCTGCTTCTCCCTCTCCCATTCCCCCTGCTTGTGTTCCTGCTCTCACTATTTCTCTCTCTATCAAATAAAAAAAAAAAAAAGAATTGAAACCATCTAGACTAGAAGGCCCTTATTTTATCTGTGAGAAAAACAGCTCTTCAGACTTCAAGAGACTGGCCCACACCACCGGCATGCTGGGGCACGGCGGAGGCTGGACCCAGGCAGCCCTGCACCCCCGCACTGGCTTAATTCTGCCCGAGGTATGGATTAAGGGATTCACTGCTCACTGCGGCTGCGTCGTTTCAACACACACACGACTACAGCACTGGTAATAAGTACCAGTAAAACAGGAAATCTCGAAGCTTAAAGAGAAACTGGTTTGAGGGGCGCCTGGGTGGCTCAGTTGTTAAGCGTCTGCCTTCGGCTCAGGTCATGATCCCAAGATCCTGGGATCGAGCCCCGCATCAGGCTCCCTGCTCAGCGGGAAGCCTGCTTCTCCCTCTCCCACTCCCCCTGCTTGTGTTCCCTCTCTCGCTGTGTCTCTGTCAAAGAAATAAATAAATTTAAAAAAAAAAAAAAAAGAAAGAAACTGGTTTGAGGAGAAGTCCCAGCTGAGGGAAAGATAAATAGCAACATGCTTAAAAGAAATAAACCCTACTGTGAGGACACTTCTTAGAACAAGAACACATTATTTAAAAATCACAGTTCTAAAAAAATAAAATAAAGTCACAGTTCTGTTGACACATCTGAACTTGCACATGGTATGACTGATATATAATGTTTTATTCTAGGGCAGTAAATTATTTGCTTGCATGCACAAATTTTTATGGAAAAAAACAAAAACAGAAAACAAACTCGTAATACACAAAACAAGAAAAATCAGGAAAAACCCAGGAAACCTACTTTGAATCGACCCTCCCTTTGTAAAGCAAACCGTACTGGCATTTTTTTCTAACGGGCTTTTGGTGGGGGGGGAAACGTTTAAAAGTCAAAAGCAGATCTGAAGTTTGGCGGCTGAAAGGATGTAATTAGTAAATTCTGATCATCTCACATTTCAAGTCTATCTTACCTAGTTAGCCTGTTAAAACTAAGCAAGCAAACAACCTGAAAGTCTTCTACCAAATCAACACGGCCCAGACCACCGTTTCCATTTCAAACCTGGCTTTCCCATGGAACTGCCAAGCCAACCCCAAAAGAAATACCGTCCACTTAAATAGCTTCCTTTATAAAAGACTAACACAGTCCTTGTCGGCACAGAGTCACTGTGCTCATTTCCACTTGTGGGTATCAAATTCGCAAGGTGAAAACACATTCCAGGAAAAAACTCATCGCTCAGGAGATAAAGTTCGGCGCAGACTCTCAGGTTGCATCTTGTTTTCTTGATTTAAGAGGATTTCCTTAACATTCGACCATACTGTGGGTCGTGCAATGCAGCCCACTGGCCAGAAACCGTCCCCAGCTCCCATACACGGAAGCCCTAAAGATGGTCCACTAACGGGAAAACCAGACACCGAGGAGGACGGCAACATGGGCGCTTAATCTGCACCAGGCAACCCAAGCATACAGCTGGCCGGAGGACGGGGTTTAGAGCTTGGGACACCAGAGCCACTTTGGATCCACCGGAAACTAAAAGGAGGTGCCTGTTTAAAATCCTGAGAAACCTGAATGCAATCACCACGTTTCTGTAAGTGCCCCACAATCTAGAAGGTGGAAGGCCGTGTGGGTTCATCCACATTCCATCCACCCAAAGTCCTTTCCTGAAGGTGTCATTCTCCCAACAGCCCAAGGCACTCTGGAACCGCTGTTCTGCATTCTGTGTGAAACATCTCTAGATACGGCCTGCTAAGGGTCCCACTGTCGGACTCTGCGTGGGAAAAGCCACCCGGCCATCAGGCCGACTGTGGACAATTTATTTGGTGGGTTAACGACCCTGAGTTTGGGTAGTTTATCTGTGATTCAATAGCCTGTGCTCTCTGAGGGTTTTCTTCCCTGTGAAAACAGAAGAACATCATCTCTACAAGCCCATTCATCACTCTGTATGAATCTTGTACAAAACGGGCAATAAACACAGCATTTTCTTACAGCTACCAAAGCTCTCGCTGGTTCAACAGGGCACGGGGTATAAAATGATGAAGTAAAACTAAAAAAAGGAGCTGCTTGATAAAGTTCACGTCCAAACAATGACTATTAGACGTGGGCAAGGCAGACCCCCCGCACCCCAGTCCCAGAGTCTGGGAGCATTTGCTTTACTTACTTGTATTTTAAGAGCAGCCACTGAATTAACCAGAGTCCTACGAGGATCATGCCGTTAATTTCACAGATAGAAAAGGCCCACTGCACCCGGTTAAAATGGTCAAAGAACGTGTCCGGCAGCGGGGGCTGCACCTCCTTGGGAGGCACTCGCTCGTGGACGACCGAGATCATCACTGTGGTGAGGACGAAGCAGGACAGAGCATACAGGAAGGCCAGGCACGTCTTGCCCCACTCCATGGGGTACTGGGAGCGCTCGGGCTCCGGCATGGGGATCTTGATCATCTCCTTCCTATAGCCGTTGGGCACCCCGTTGGGCTTGGCCTGCAGGCCAAAGCCGGCGGCGGGGCCGGGGCCGGCCACACCTGCACCCAGGTGCCCGTTGGCGTGGCCGTTCTTGTGCGCCTCCATGTGCTGTTCCACCTTCAGGGTCTCGATCATGTCCAGGAGCCGCTGCCCGCTGTCGGCCGACACGCGGCACAGGGGCGGCCGCGCGAAGTCCTCCCGGGTCAGGCCGATCAGGTCCCGGCCCGTGAAGTGCTCCAGGGGCTCACAGTACTCGGGCATGGCGTGCTCCAGCAGCCAGTTTGCCACCTTCTTGGGGGACCAGTACTCCACCTCCTTCATGGTCCCAGCGGGCGGGGGTCAGCGGTCCCGCGGCGGCGAACCCATGCTGCCCGGCCTCATGCCGGGGACGTGCGTGGCCAGATGCGCGGGGCCGCTCCCGCTCCCGCAGCCCGCACACCGCTCTCCGGGGCTCTGGGCGCCGGCGCGCGCTCACCTCATGGCGCCCCGGCCGTCTTCCTTCTGCGGAGGCAAGAGACACAGTCAGCAGGGGGCTCCACGCCAGTCCCCGCGGGGCGCACGGCCCCTGCGCGCGTCAGCAGGACGCAGACCCCGAGACCCGGCCCCGCAGCGGGGGGGGGGTGGGGTGGGGTGGAACCACAGGGCTCCCCGGCTCATCCTCCCCGAAGAAGCAGCCAAGGACACCCCGGAAGGATGGGATCACATCCTCTCCAAAGGCGCGTTGCCTAAGAAGTAACGCCACAGGGCTCTGGATACGGCTCGGTATGGGTCAGGGGTTCCCTCCGTACTTACCTGCTTCCTGACATAACCTGAAATCAGGCGGCAAATGTGCCTCACCTACCATTCCATCCGGTGGAGAAAGGTTTTCCAATGTACCTAACACACAGCAACTTAACAGATATCCCAGATAATCACAGAAATGTCGAGCCTCAGAACCATCTGGTCCAACAATTTGATAGCCTTACATGCAAAAATACCAACGAATCCCTTTTTTTCCCCATGCGGGGCATTTTCCACATTTCTCCTACCTGTTTTTCTTTAATAAGCATGGATTACTTTTGTAACAACACTTATAATTTAAAACAACAAGAACAGTAAAGACCCACTCTATAACAAGTTATCATGGTTAGTGAAATATGTCGTCAGCAGCAGACAGACCATAATTGGACTCAAGATCTCCCATGGGTAAGCCCCTGGGTGAGCTTCAGCTTACTGATCTGTGAAAGGAAGCTTCCCCCTCGCAGGGTTGCTGTCAGGACTTTAAAAACCATATGTAAGTCTAGCACTCAGAAGGGTCTGTTCATCCCATATCCTTTGTTCTCCTTTCTTAATTTTTCTATGCTATCCAATAGCTACTGTCTACTCCATCTCACTATGAAAACACCCTAAGAGTGGGCTAACTTTTTCTTCCTTAAAAGACGAATGTTGTGGGGTGCCCGGGTGGCTCAGTCATTAAGCGTCTGCCTTCGGCTCAGGTCATGATCCTGGGATCCTGGGACAGAACTCTGTGTGGGGCTCCCTGCTCAGCAGAAAGCCTGCTTCTCCCTCTCCCACTCGCCGTGCTTGCATCCTTCTCTAGCTGTCTCTCTGTCAAATAAATAAATAAAAATCTTAAAAAAAAAGATGAGTGTTAACTACAAAAACATCTGCACAGATATGTAGGCTTAATGGCTAGAAATTAGTGATGGCAGTGTTTCCCAAGTATGCTTTGTAGAATAACCATCTGATAAAATGCTCTGTGCTTTAAAAAAAAAAAAAAAAAAAATCCAGGGGCACCTGGGTGGCTCAGATGGTTAAGCATCTGCCTTCGGCTCAGGTCATGATCCCGGGGTCCTGCGATCGAGCCCCACATCGGGCTCCCTGCTCGGCGGGAAGTCTGCTTCTCCCTCTCCCTCTGCCTCTCCCCCTGCTCATGCTCTCTCTCTATCTCTGTGTCTCAAATGAATAAATAAAATCTTAAAAAAAAAAAAAAAAGAAATCCAAATTAAGTCTCAGGAACTGCGTACTAGAGCCTCTTCCAGAGACAACAGCAGGTATTAGCATGTTAGAAGCTCTAAAAAATCCTCCAGTAGGAAACTGGTTAGCAGGATTTCTCAAATGGACTTCACTGAGTCTGCTGTCCCCCCGGCCACCTCCCCAGTGACTCCTGTCAACTCCCAATGGAGCGCACTGGGCGGTAGTGGCACAAACAAGACCCAGACTCGGTTCTACCAAACCCCAAATCGGACTGTGGAATGAAGATGGACAGACGTCCACTCCCAATCTCCCTGTCCAAGTAACAACCAGTGAAATGGCAGTAAAGCTCAAGATATCCCAGACCTTGCAAAAAGGTTGGGTGTTCTCTCTTCCGTACATCCACACTGTTGTCGCACCGCCTTCTGTAACGTGTGTGTCTGCAAACCTCCTCCACCCCCCCAAGGAGACCAGGAGTGACTGGGGAAGGGCTACGGTCTTGAGCATCCGCAGAACTCACAATGCAAGGGCTCACTTGACATCTGCTCATATCTCAAGAAATGTCCCTGACATTTATCAACATGTAGATGGTGGAATAGAAAATAAAATCTACTCGAAATGCCACTGATACTGAAAACTGCTTCAGAACAATTTGGATAGTCAAGGAACATGCTAAGGTGGGCATTCTTCAGAAATGGGAAACCGGAGTGGACCTCTGGCCATTTGAGAAGCACTCTAGAGGGGCTTCGGTCGTGACAAGAAGACACGAGCCAAATGGAAGTCCTGCCAGACGGTCCTGCGGGACAGGGGATCCCTTGGCGACACAGCCCGGGCCTCGCCCCGAACACTCCTCAGCGGAGTTACAGGATCAGCCAAGAGAGCCCTGCCCATCTCAAAATGGCTAGGAGAGCTCGAAAAAGAAACTCCTGGAGGAATATTCAGGCCCAAGGGAATGAACGGGCTTCTCACGTGGGTTCCTCGCTTCCCCCTGGCCCACGTGGGAAGTCCGCCAGGAGGGGAAACCCCGCAGAACCACAGAGACCAGACCAATGCCAACGTGTTATTTCACTCCTCTCCGCTGAGCAAACTGTCAGATCATCTCCTCTTAAGACTTAGTCATCTTTACAACAGAAAAACAGCAAATGGTCGGAGACAATATGGGGCCAACAGACACACGGATGAAGGAACGCTAACCGTACAGAACTAGCCCAGCAGGCAGGATCTCCGAAGACACAGCGAGAAAAACCAGTGGCTTCCGCTGTAACTCGGCCAACACAACTGTGTGCCCCCTAAGACAGGCCCGGTGCTTCCCCCCACGTTGGCATTCTCCATCTACTCTCCAGCAAGCCCCACATCTTCCCTCAGTGCTTCAGATCATTCCCAGTCCTGTCCCCTCCCTGCGTCCCCACACCACTGGTGTCTGTGACCATGTACTTTAATGGGCTTGTGTGCCCAGTGCCACGACGCATGCCAGCCGTGTGAGGCGGGGAGCCTGCAGCCAGGATCCAACTCCGCCACCTCCCTTCTTGACAGAGTCCTCGAACCCCGCCGAGCCTCAGTGTCCTCTGGAAAATAGGATCAACAACTACCTTACCCACCTCTTCGCGGGCTGCTCCTGCCGGGAGGCTCCAATCAGGGAAAAGGAATGAAAGCTATTAATTACTCTAAGAAATTGGTCTTGTTCTTCTGGTAACGGCCTGCTTTCTTCCTGACACCCAACTGGGCCCACGGTGACGTTTCATAAATAGGGACTGAAGCTGCCCCTCCCAAATGGCATTTTTAAAAGCCCAATCATTCCGACACACAAGTTCAAACAGCCTTCCAGATTTCACGAGAAAACAAACCTTTGTTTTTCAAGCAAGCTTTGAAGCTTGAAAATAAAGGCACAGATGCTATTTTCGTGCAGACGATGCCAAAATCGTGTAAAAGGGGAAAAGGTCATTTATCTGGAAGTAACTGCCTGGCAGCTACTCGGTACCTCAAAGGCCACTGCTCAAAGGCAGGACTTACTCAGAGACCCCAGGGCCCAGCCGTGGGAGGAGAGGTGAGAGACTCACTTCCTCCTGGCCTCACACACTCACTTCAGAATAGAATAGAAGATACCGCAGCATTTCTGAGAAGTGCTTCTACATCTAGACCCAGAAGACTGTACGTTAGACTGAGCTCACAAAACTACTACCACCAGCCCCGTCCAGAAAAGCCATCCTGAATCCACTATTGGGAAAATGTTCAGAAATAACGCATAACTCAAGTCCCCAGACTTGGTACTCAGGACTCAGAAGTCGTAAGAGAATAAAGCCTTGATATTCCCCATTACCAGAATGTGAGCAATGGAAGAGGAGCTGGAGGGCTCGTTCGTCCACAAGTCTCAGACACAAGTAGAGTGAAGTCCAGTGAGATTGTGAAGTGTCTAAACTCTCCGACATAGCAGAGTTAGTCCCAGAGCTAGACAAACCCACCATGCTTTCCAGGGCCGCCCACTGCATATATTCAACGACCTCACAGACGTCAACAAACGTGAAGGGCAGTCTAAGAGTCTCTAGAAAAAAAAAGTTATGCAGTCCTATAGCATTAAGGGCAGGAACAACAACACATATTCATTATAGATTCCAAACCCAGCAGGGATTTCTAATGAGACCCCAACTGAGTGAAAAATAAATCTGCTAAAACAATTTGGCTCCAATTCTTAGAACAGATATTTTAAGCCTTAGTATTGTAAAAGCCATCAGATAATATGCCACAACACACTATAAACTATTTATAGCTATTTACCAAAGCCAGCTCTCTAGAACCAGAAAAAGTAAGTTAAACCAATTATCCTGGTAATGAAAGCATTAACCAAATAACTAAATCATGTATGAATATGTGTTTATCGCTACATAAAAAGAATCTACTATATTACCTTATTGTCTGGCATTGTCTAGAAATAAGACATTGTTGTGTTAACACAAAGCTACCATATCAATTGAACAAGGAACACAAGTTTTCAAGAATTAAAATGCCAGAAAATGCACAGTGAAGCTCTGAAGCAAGTGCTCAGAAAATCTGAGTTCTAATAATTGCTCTGTATTTTACTCCAATCCCAGTGCCTCGGTTTCCTATAATGGAACAATTTATTCCGTCTGCTTGCTGCATTAGTTTAGGGAATTTATGGACAACTGACAGTGCTTTTGGTAACATAAGGCAAGACATAAAAATGTAAGAAATTATTATACTGAACGTTATTTATCCTTTGAAGATTCAAGAACTTTAAAATAAGTGCCATGAAATTAAGAATTGAATTTTTACAATTTTTTTAAGGAACGGTGGAATTGATTGAATGAACTTAGCTGCCATGTCAATGAAGAAACTAGAGCAAAGTTCCAGATGTTTCTACATGCTGACAGTGGCAAATGAGAGTAGAAAGTAGTGCGTGCACAATGCGTCTTTTAGAGGCATACTGAGTGAGCTAAACGTTCTGCTTTTTGCATCAAATTTCTAAAACACAAAAGCAGAAGTAACATGGGCTTTAACGTGAATTCTGCTCTAGTAGCTCAAATAATCAACTT